TCTTGAAGAAGCTGGCAGGTATGATCTGCCTGGTCTGCAATAAGGACTATGTCGTCTGCAAATCTCAAGTTATTCAGAAACTCTCCATTTATGTTGACTCGAATATTCTACAAATTATTTTTTCTCATAGCACTCTGCAATAAAGCGGTGAATAGCTTAGGAGGGATAGTAACTCCTTGCCTAATACCCCTCTCGAAGAAAAATGTATTTGTGTTGCCATAATACATTCTAACTGCAGCTGTTGCACTATATATATATATATATATATATATATATATATATATATATATATATATATATATATATATATATATATATATATATATATTCCAAAGAAGAGTTGTACCTATGATCAATACTGCACTCTGTAAGAGGTCTTAACTCTTAACATGGAGCTATGCTGGACTGAGTAAAACGCTTTCTCAAAGTCTACAAATATGAATATCATTGACTTGATGTATTCTATAACTTTCTCTATTAAGAATTTTATTACTTGTAGGTGGTCATTCGTTCCAAAGCCACTCCTAAATCCGGCCTGTTCTAATGGTTGGTGAAAATCCAGCTTAGGTTCCAGTAGGTAATTATTCTCATAAAGAGCTTATATAAATGAGATAACAAGCTGATAGGTCTGTAGTTTCCAATTTCTGTTACATCCCTTTTTTTGTGCAATATTATCATAATGGCACTATTCCATTTTTCTGGTGTAACTCCTTCAAAGAGGCAGGCATTATAAAGGGTTTTTAAAGCTTTTATGGCGCATTTGCCTTCTAATTTTACCATTTCACTTACAATGCCATCTTCTCCAGGTAATTTTCTGTTCTTCATACCTTTTAACGCTGATCTGATTTCCTCTTCGGTTATATCTGGAAGTTCCTCTGATCCTTGATTTTGTATGGCTGGGATTTCCAACTCTGGAATGTGAGCATCTCGACAATATAATGTTCTATAGTACTCTTCAATTATTTTCTTAATTTCTTGTTGTTCATATACAGCATGTCCTTGACTATTTTTTAGCTTAGAAATGTTTCTGCTTCCTTTTTTCAACTTTCGTTTTAGAACTTAAAGTCTTTTATTTTGTTCTATGGTGTTAGTTGTCTATTTAGTGTTAAAATCCCTAATGTCTTTTCTAATAGCTTTTGAAATGGTTTTATTTAAATTACTTAGCTCTGCGTCGTTCACTGTATGCTTATCTTTTATTTCCCTTCTTTTTTTACATTAGGTTCCTTGTGCCTTGTGTAAGTTTTTCATTTTCTTTGTTTGCTGAACTTGACAGTTTTTCTGTTCCTTCCTTAGAACGTCCACCAACCTTTCGTTAAGTTGTTCAATATCGGTTTCATCTTGCACGCCATTCTAAAGGTTTCTATCTATTTCTTCCTGGTATGCCCTTGTGTTAGTAATCGCAGTAAAAGTAACATTTTTAGTCCTTGTTACCATATTTCTTTATTTTTTCTTCACGTTTAAGACTACCTTCAGTCTAACTATTCTATGGTCACTTCCGGTTGAAAATTGATGTAATACAGTTACGTCTTGAACAGCGTCTTTTTTATTAGTAGTGATAAAGACAATTTTGTTCTTGTACGAGCCATTTGGTGATTGCCAAGTCTACTTTCTTTGGTTTTTTTTAATGGGTGTTCATGACATATAGTCTGTATTGCAGAAGAAATTCTATAAGGGTTTGACCCCTTTCGTTTATGTCAAAATATCTGTGAGGTCCAAATACAAACTTCGAATCATCCTGCTTGAGGCATTTTTGCGTTTACTCCCATCAGTATGGTACAGTTGGTGGTTACCTGTTCTACCGCATTGTTAACGTCATTCTAGAACCATTCAACTTCTGTGTGGGCACTGGTAGATGCGTATACCTGAATGAATGATCTTTAATCGAATTTTTTCGTTTACTTTGTAGATAAGATAAATAACTTTATCACTTATGCTTTTAATTGTAAGTATATTCTTCGTGTGTTTTTTATTTACCATAAATCCGACGAAATCATTAGATTTTCCTCTATAGTGAAATATATTTCCCGACAAAAAAAAACCATTTGTTTTTCGCCTTTTCGGCATACTTCAGATAATCCAAGTATATCCCTTTTTATATGCTTCAGCTCGTTTCCAGGTTCCTCAAGTTTTTCGTCCTCCATCAATGTTCTGGTGTTATATGTTGCCATAAACGATATTCCTTGCCATTGTCGTTTGTATAGATAGATGTTAGGATGGGTTAGGCAATTTTGGGATCTTTGACAAGGATGTTAGGTTGGGATGTGATACCCTCTCGGTTAAAAGGAGTGAGAGTGAACCACGGCTCACGTAGTCAGGGCAGGGTCGCGAACCTGTAGTAGACCTAACTTTACCGGGATCTTAAAGTGTATCTACAATTTACCCGTTTTAAAATAGAATTAATAAATACAGCGAATGAAACAATCAGACTAAAAGAAGAGTAAATGAAAAATGGATTTCTAAAAAGAAATATGTAAAACAATCCTACAATAAGAAGGATCGGAAGAAAAGAGGTTACTTAAAAGAAAATATACGACAAAAAGCAAGAAATAAAAGTACAAGGCAGAAAAGAAAAAAGAAACTATATAAATTAAATGTTAAGTTCAGAAAAAAACAAAACAAGAAAACAATCTATGATTACAATATACAATCATACGAAGCCTAACAGAAAAAGTACAAATAAATATATGGAAAGTTAGTGCTAAACAAGCAAACAGAATAAAAAATCAGAAACAAATAATACAAAGATAAAAGGACAACTTTAAGGAAATATATGCCAAGTATAAACGAACACAAATTATAGAAGATGGAAAACAATCACCAGAGCTAGAAATAAGTATTAAATAAATTACAAGGGAAAAAATTCGATATATACTAAAATTTTAAAGATTGGAAAATCCGAAGGAATTGACAATATACCCATATACCTAATAAAATCAGATACTGAGCAATCAATACAAATATTACATACACATTTAAACAAAATATGGACTGAAGAATAATTATTAAAGAAGTAAAAAGAGGGATTGATAATAAAAACACAAATAAAGAGACATGAGTCGATACAAAAATTGGCGTTAAAAACTGAGAAGTCACCAAGCAGGCTTCCGTACTCAACGCCTTACCATTGACCACATTTGCACCCTTAGAACTGTCAAACAAGTGAATGAAATAAAAAAAATTGATGTAAGTTTTATTGGCTTTGAAAAGGCCTTTGACCGTATAAATACTGTCCATATGTAAAAAATCTCAAGATTATATGGGATATCACTAAAAATCATAAACTCTATTAAACTCGTCTGCGAAGGATACAAAACCAAACTGGAACATTCAGTTGTGAAGGGTTCTGTACTCCAACTGAAACAGCGTTGTGCACTATCTCCTACCCTATTCATTGTTATTATTTTTTTAATGAGAAAAGTAACTGACAATTAAACACGCATCAGATGGAACTTGTTTAAACAATTTGAAGATATCGAATTTGCGGACAACATCTGCCTACTAACTGAGCACCGAACTCATATGCAAACAAAAATTGACAAGTTGGCACAGCACTCAGACATTATTGGACTCAGAATAAACACAAATAAAAACAGAAAATTTTTTAAAAAATAATAACCAACCAGATAATAGAATATTAATAAAAAATAATAAGGGTAAGAAAGTAGAAGAGGTAGAAAAATTCACATATTTGAGATCAGTCATGGAAAAGAAGGAGAGGGGTGTAAAGAGAATATACAGACGAGAATAATAATGTCTCGACATGTATTTAATGCTTTGAATAAAATTTGAGAAACAAATGAAATATCAAAATCAATAAAAATTAAAATCTTTAGTAGTATTATCAAAATTATACTATTTCATGGAGCACAAACACAAAAACATGATAAATCTGCAACTAAAAAACTGCATACTTTTGTACACAAATGTTTACAAAAAAATTCTGAAAATATACTGACCTAACACAACTATGGGACAGAAGAAAAGCCCTCAATATATCTACTACAGTCAAGGAAAAAAAATTAAAATGGATTGGTCATACATTGAAGAAAGATGAAAGAAACATAACCAGACAAGCACTAGAATGCCAAAAAGAAGGGAAAAAAGAAAGAGAGGAAAACCAGACAACAGCTAGAAAATAACATCTTCTTCTGATTGTGTCGTCTTCTTCTAACTTCTTTAAACGCTCTCCTATTTTTTGCAAAGTAGAATATCTGTTTAATACTGAGGTTTGTCCAATTTCTGATACTCCTCAGCCAAGATTTCTTCTTTCTTTCCGAGTCTTATCTTTCCTCTATTCTTCCATGCATGGCAACGTATAGAAGAGTATTTACCGTTTCAAAGTATGTGGCCTAGATACAATTGTTTTTGTTAATTTGAATTGTATTCATGGTTATTAAAGCTTTCTATCATGTCCAATTATTCTTAACACTTCTTCGTTTGAGATTTTTGCAGTCCAAGGAATTTTAAGAATATAGCTAAATTTCGAATGCCTCCAATTTTTTTACGAATTTTGCTTTCAGAGTCTAAGCTTCTATCCCATATGACAGTTGCCACCAAACATAATATTAGATGAACCTCAATCTGATAACCATAATTAATTAATTATGGTTAATTTTTAATTTCTATACACTACCTTGTATTTTATAAATAGAACAAGAACTACAACGAGAGAAAATAAAAAAGTTGGACTAAGATGGGGTAAGATAAAAAACAGACTAAAGATACAAAAAAAAGTTGAAGGAAGTAGTACACAGTTTATCCAGTGAATACATAGGAAAGAAGGTGCATTGACGCAGCCAGTCAGCCATCTTACAGTTTTGGCCAAGAAACTGATAAGCCTCCAATACCCCAGAAGGAAGGATGAAATAGATAAATAAATCTGAAGTATATCGCCTATTAATAGATTTTGTGATATTTTAGTTGGTAGTATGCCATTTTGTGTGGCAGTGCATGCGAATTTTAAATCATTTTAAGTTAAAATTTAAAAATATCTAACTCACCTATCATATGCGCCATCGTTCCAGCTAGCAAATGAGGTTCATACGTGTTGATATCTACGCTGATTCCCACGGATTTAGAGGTACAAACAGTCGCAGGTACTGCCATTCCAGCTTCACCGCCAACAAAAACTTCACCAGTGAGAAGCTGGGTTGTGTCTTTGTCTACTTTAAACAGTTTTCGGGCTGAGTAATCGTTAAAATTAGATAAAGCTTTTCCGATGTCTTCGTTTGGATTAATTATTGCCTGATTTGCTCCTAAAAATATACAAGTTAGTTTTTTTATAATACTTACACCGTATTTACATAAATTAAAATTATAATTTTATATAAATTACACTGAATCAACCTTTATATAATCTTATTGTATGTTATGTTCAAAGATTATTTAACACAGTTAGACCGTGTACACATGAGGGCGATAGACGACCTCTTAAGCGCCGATAGAGGGAGATAGAAAAAAGGCTTAGCGACGCGCGGTTCACCAGATTAGTCGACAGCCAGTACAGTTATGAAATAGTTATTGTACTTAAACATTGTAATACTGGTAAAGTAATAAAGAAACTTTTTGTATTTACCTAATACTGTCTTCCCATCTAGTGTGCCATTTTTATCAGTAAATATGTCCATCAGATCTTGTCAGGCAGAATTTTTTAAAACTCTATTCTTGTATTTATCATAGTTAATGTCCCAAATACATTTTTATTTTGAAATTTATCAATTAACAGTCCCGTATGAAAATTGTTAACTCCCATTGTAGACAGAAGACAGAACACTTTTCGCTACAGCACAGCGAAGTCCACAGGACAAAAGAGCGCGCTTGGCTGTGAACATGTGTACGATCATATGCCTTTCCTAGTAACTAGAAACGTGCTGCAACCACGGCGTTTGCATATTCTACGAGCACCACGTTTTGATAACGTTGGTTCAAAATGCACGCTTGCATGTGAACGATACAATTTGTTTCTTGGTACTTGGTACGCGGCGTTAGGCAAACGCGGCGTCTAACGCTATCATGTTTACAGGGCCTTAAGCAAATATTCTTAATAGACCAGGGCGGATCTATTTTGAGGTGCTTGTAAGAAGTAGCATTAATTTTTGCAGAAAAAGTTGTGTTATAACTTAAGTAATAATCCCAGTTAAATAGTAATTAAGTAATAATAATTAACTTTCTCCCTCTCAAACAGGTCGGAAATATTAATATTAATACTTAAAATTACTGAAAACATTATTGTTTGTTACTTTGCTTGCTTATAATTTTAATACTATTTATTTTGGGGTAAAGCACCTAGTAATAAAATAAAATAGCAAAAATTAATATATCTCTAACATACGACTGACTAAATCTGTTTTAATATCCTACCCTTGCTACAAAATATCATGGCATACAAAAAAGAGGGAAAAAACTTTTAATTATTCAATGGTTTTCAAGCATTTATATTGCACTTAAGATCTTAATACTTCACCTAGAGATTCTTTATGATATAAAAAACAGTCCACTTAATTTCACTAAAAGCAATTTAATAGATTTAGCATAATAATTTTCCAATCTAAATATTTTTAAAAAAATTAAAATAAAATTCTGTAAAATGTTGCACAACAAAAAATAAACCATCTTATATAAGTTTTTCAATTTTTTATATAAAAAAGCACTCCACCTACCTAACGAACTTAATAGAATTGACATAAAATTATTTAAGCGTCCGGCCTCAGGAATGTTTTAAAATTATAAAAAAAAATTTGGCTTATAAACAAATAGAACATCTCAGTAATTCATCATCATTGGTGCTACAGCCCTATAAAAGAGCCTCGACCTTCCCAAGTCTATTATGCCAGTCAGTTCTATCCATTGCCAACTGTTGTTAGTTTGCTGTACCTATTTTTCTACCATCCTCATTTACACCATTCCTCTATCTGAGTTTTGGCCTACCCCTACTTCTACTTTCCACAGGTTGTGACATAAAGTTTCTTTTAGGAGGGTTGTTCTGCGGTTACCTTGCCAGATGTCCTGCTCATCTTAGTCTTCCCATTTTTATAAGATATACTACGTCTTTACCACCAAATATATATTTATATCTGTGATATATCTCGTATTTGTACCTCCTTCTCCAAACATCATTTTCACAGATGCCACCAAATATTCTTTTCAGGCTCCTTCTACTTGGTGATCAGGGAGCCTAAGTATGTGAATTTGTCCACCACTTTAAATGTAGAGTTATCAATAGTGAATTGGTAGCCGATATTTCTGGCTCTATTGTTGGGTGTTGATGCCATTATCTTAGATTTCTCCTCATTTACTTGCAGGCCCATATTTTCTGCGGGCAACTAGGTTAACATCATCTGCATATGCACAAATGTGGGATGATTTATTAAAAGTGTTTCCTATTTTGTCTATTTGGACATCCCTGACCACCTTTTCCAGAGCTATGTTGAAAAGGAGACACGCCAGCGCATCTCCCTGTCGCAGTCCAACATGCGTTTCAAATGCATGTGATTGTTCGCCCTGTATTTCGACTTTGCAAACAACTTTACGCATTGTAGCCTTAACCTATCTTATCAGTTGATCGGGGATGTAAAATTCATCCATAACTTCATACATTTTTTTCTTAGGGCACTATCATAGGCCGATTTAAAATCTACGAGCTCGAGCCGATTTAAGCCCCTCTGAATATGCACTCAGGCGACTATATAAAATACTAAAATACTAAATATTTTGTATGCTATATTAAGGAGGAATATTCCCCTATAGCTTCTACATTGAAATTGATCACCCTTTTTTGTGTAGCGGGCAAACGATCAAATACACCACTTTTCCGGAATTTGTTTCTCATCCCAGGCTCTCGGTATGATTTGATATATATGGTTAGTCAGAGTAGCACCTCCACATTTAATAAGTTCCGAGGGTATACCATCACTTCTTGGAGATTCATTATTTTTTAGGTGTTTTATTGCATCCCGCACTTCTTGAATTTATAGAGGCTCCAATGGTGTATTATTTCTTGCTCCTGGGGATGGTTGATTTGGATCTTCTACTTCGATAGTAAGTAGTTCTTTATAGTGTTCCACCCACCTTTTCAATACTTCTTCTTTTGTATTGAGTATATGCCCCTTCTTATCCTTACATAGTCCGATCCTTGGCTTAAATTCTTTTCCTGCATTATTCAGATTTTTGTAGAATTTTCTCGTTTGATTTTCCTTTTTTAATGCCTCAAGTTCCTCCAATATTTTATTTTTATAAGTTCGCTTTTTTCTCCGATGGATGTACTTCTCTTCTCTTCTGAGATCTTTATATTTTTGTTCTTTTTCTCGGGTTCTTCTTTGCCGCATCAGTTTATATGAATTGTTCGTTCTTCTTGTAATGTTCTTGCACTCATTATCGAACCACTCATTGCGTGGTGATGCTCTTTGCGGCCCTAGAATATTATTTGCTGCATATTTGATATAATTTTTACGCATTTCCCATTGTTCACTAATTGTTAGATTCTCTTTAGTTATGTCTCAGTAGTTATTATATCGCTTCTTAGTTATTATTAAATCAAATTAAATGTAAAAAATGGCATTGGAAAAGACTCGACAGGATGTTTCTTTTAAAAAAGATGAATTACAAGCAGTGGTTGCTGAGATACAACGCGCCAAGTTGACCGGTATAAAAAATAGGATGATATTCTTTGAACCAATACCTTTTTCTTTCGAAGCTCTTAATCGATAAAAAAATATATTTTCACGATATGCATAATACATAATAATACAAATGATCGGTATTGCGCGTAAAAAGGACCGAAAAACTGTTTTGAAGAAAATTGAATTTCAAAGTTCAAAATCGGTATACTTACGTAAAAAAATTGATTTTCTTAGCTTTCAATTTATTTGGTTCTTCCCCGTTTAATCATTGTTTTGTTATTGTGGAGATTTATATAGAGATCTTATTAGAAGATCTAACAGTGACTTTGGCTAAAATGTTTTAACTCTTATGTGTGCTTTTCGCATATAATCAAAATGTTCGATATACGCAGACATCGCTCATGTGCGTATTACAAAAATATATTACACAATTACGAATGATGGTTGGATTATGGTGAAGCTAGTTATTTTGTGTAGTGTCAAAAGTGTTAAATCTAAACATTTTATATGTGTATATTTAAGTAATAATAGATGCGTTTTTATTGGTAAGTAAAATAAAAAACCTCAAAAATTTGAAATCCTAAATTTTATTAAATTAATTTGTTGCTCCAAAAACAGCAAAATAGAGCGTAAATGATAAATGTTTATTTTATGTACAAATTCTCATACACTCGGAAACTGGACGTCTTGTAGTGCTTAACAAACCCTTTAGTTTAGTTTAGTTTATTATTCCAACATAATCCATAAACTTCTAAATAGAGCTTAACTTAAAATTGTAAAAAAGTTTGCTTATTCATACAACAACTCTACAAATAATATCAGATATTTCTCCTTTACTTATATCAGCAACATTTCCAATAAAATATTAAAACTTTTTACTTCTACATTTGAAGACATCAAAATTTTCTTCTAGTTACACAACACTTTCGGTTCCTTTTTAATTAACACCAAAGATAGAATGAAGACACTTAACAAAAGTGGAATTTATAAATTAAAATGTGATGATTGTGATGCCTCTTATGTAGGTAGAACCATTCGAAGAATATCTGCTAGAATTATAGAATATTTTGAAAAGACCAGACTCTTTAACTATTTAGTCACCATTTATTATCCAGTAAACTTAATTTTAACATCAATACTGGTTCATCTATTCTACATGACTTTAGTAAAAAGAAAAACTATTGAAAATAAAATCTCTCACTGTCCTAATACTCAAATTAATTTAAAATGTACTAAATTTAACCCTATTTTTAAAAACTTGATTACAGCTTCACCTCTTAGGGGACTTAGCTCGACTGTTTAGACTTCCTGCACTAAGTATACCCATTAGGAATTTACTAATTTTATATTTTGGATAATATTACGATATTATTCTTTAATAACTTGCAAAACTAGCTTGTTCAGGATCTTTTAATCTATAGTTGGCGTTGATTACGCTTTTCATATCTCTTCGTAATTTATATATTCGAACTCCACAGTTGTATATTCCAACATCTCTCACTATTGGTCAGTTGGTCTGCCAAAGTAATGCTTTGACGTTTTAATTTTACCGTTCTCCTATTGACTGTAGGTTTAACTGAATTATTGGAATTATACCCCATTTATACACTTTGCTTTCAATTTTGATCTTTAATTCTAACTATTTCAATTTCATAGTTCGATTTCTTCTTTTCTACCTTATTAATAGTGCGTGATAGACCTTTTTATTGTAGTCAACCCACCATTATCTAATGTATTGTTTAGTCTATTTCTTGCATTCATACTGTACGTCAACTTCAGTTGCCCCCACACTAACACCTTTGTTATTACTGACAGGTTTGAGTGTGAGATCTGGATTATGGAATCTACATCAAGTAATTCATATAATTTTACAATTTATCAGTTGATTTCCTATAAATAGTAGTTTATAGTAGTCAGTTCGACCTTTGGTCAATGCTAAGTTTCATATAATTTTGAATTGTGCAAACCACATCACCATGATTGTGACAGCCCATCTAAGTTGTCATATATCAAATGTCACTTTAATATCTCCTTTAAGACCAGGAGCCATTCTCTCTCCTAATGTCACCCAATATGTAGCTTCTTTGAATTTTATAACAATTTTTAAACTGTTTGTCCTTTATCTCGTGTTGTGTAAATGTATCCATTAAAGATTATAACATTTACCATGTATTGTTGGATAACCTAATTTTGACGAAGCAAGTCTAAAACGCTTACATCATTTTTTATCACTCATTAACTTGGAGTATTTTCGAACATAATTAATTTTTCTTTAGTTGAAAAACGTGTCTTGGCTTATTTCGGATGCCCCTGAAGATGCTCTAGGAGCGAAAGTACTTAGGCAAGATTTAATAAATACTGTGCTTGATATCTGCCTTATAATTGATTAAAATTTATTTATTCGATAATTTAGCCTTATATGACTTTTAATATTTATATATATTTGATTATCAGTTTTTGGCAAACCATATTTTCAAGTTTTATTTTACGTATTTCCACCTAGTTTCATGACGTTTTTGACTGTTACTTGTATCTATAAATTATTATTTAAAAAAATCCATTACTTCACTTGATATGTTAAAATCACTTAAATCGATTATTTATTAGTCCCTAAACTCTGATTATACGATTTTTCCATAATGTCTAGTCTACTCTCTACTTGTTCTTGTTTTTCTTTCATTTCCCGTTTTTTAAACATCTCGACATTATTTTTCTGACATATATTTTCTATTCGGAAGCTTTGAACCATCTGCTTATACTTTAAAAACTCCAGTATTATTTCTTTTCTTATTGCTTCCGTTTGTTTTACTTATTTTTTAACTTTCATCATCTGTTTCAATAGCAGATCCAATAAGTTGTCCTTAGATCCTACTATTTTTGTTGGAGATTTTCCGAATGCTTTTTCCGAATACTCATTTACTTTTCTTTTGATTCCTTTTACTATTCGCTTTTTTCTCTGTGCTGTATTTCATCGACTTGTTATTATGTAACATTTTCGAATTGCGTTAAGCGTAAAGATCAACTTGACAGTTTAGAAACCTTAAAACTCTTATATATCTTATAATAACCAGTTTTTTAGAGTGACAAATGTTTAGTACTTCACAATAAATTCAAATAATATTTTGTACTTATAGCTGAGCTGGTTTGCAATTTTATATCTTATTCTTACTTTATGCTTCTCTACTCTATGTACTTCTCGTATATCGGACCCTCAGTGCAAGACTGCAGTAACTCAAAATTTTATGAAAATGAAGTAATCATAAAATTCGATTGTAAACATGCATATCTATGCTCTGTAAAACTTTTGTAACTTTCAAATGCTTAATCAGCTAAATATTACAACAACAATAGTTTTACTATTTTGCGTTTTTGTACATAAGTTCCGTGCAAAACTGTTGCAATTATGGAACATTGCAATGGTTTCGATAACAAGCAATGAAAGGCACGAAAAAAGTAAGGTATTTCTTATTTTAATATCTATATCTGTGATGTTTAATTTTAATATACAGCGTGTCTACGTAATCCATTAACGGCCGAGACAATAAACAAAGATTTACGAGACCAATCTATTCATATAAGTTTTATGTCTTTTGTGTGACATTATATATTTTACATAAAATGTAAGCAATGTCGTTTACCATTTATTTTAGATTGGATTGAAAGATTAATTATTTAAAGCCAAAAAGTTTTTTTTATAAAAGGAAAAACAGTTATCTTAAAACTTGTGTATTAACAATACTGACAGGTTAAAAATATCTATTCTCAGAAAACTTGTTATATAAAAACTAAATCTCAAATTATATTAAACTTTCATGTAACCTCCCAGAGCGATTCTTTCTTCTTCTTCTTTTGGCATCATAACCCTGGATGGGTCTTTGCCTATCTGGCTATGGCCTTGACTCCTTCCATTCAGATCTCTCTTGTGCCCTTCTTCTCCATTGTCTTATGTTCATTGTTTTCAGGTCGTCTTCCACGTCATCCAACCATCTCGTTCTAGGCCTTCCTTTTTTTCGCTCTCCTATGGGCTTCGATTCTAACATTTTCTTTGTTGTTTTTGCATCGTTTTTTCTCTGCACATGTCCCAGCCATGATAATCCCGGAGCGATTATCTTATCATATTGTGCCCCCGTAATTCCCAACTTTTACTAAGGTAGTGAATTTTAACCCTTTTATTAACCACTTTACTAAAGGTAGCCTGATTTGCATGTTTTTATTATAGTCCTTCTGTTTTGAATTTAAATAAAATATTAAAAATTTTACAATATGACATTTTCATTACAAAGCGAATGAATTATGGCTATCAGAAACATGTGCAGAGATAGAAAGATTTAATTGCCGCTAGCTATAAGCCGTTTTATTAGGTACCCATTTATTGTAGGAAGGTATCTGATTTCTTGGATCTACATTCTATTAAATGTAAAGTTAAATACTATACTAAACCCCGATTGCTGTAGGGGATTATTTTTTCTTTACTTACCCGATGATTTGTTTGAACTTATTAAACGTATATACCAAACCCCGGAAATTTCTTTCCCTTTATCTATCAGGTGATTTCTGCGAATTCATTAAATGTAATGTTAAGGTTCTATTCCTATCGTTGTTGGAGATTATTTTCTCTTTACCTACCATGATAAACTCATGAGAAACGAGTTCTCATGCAAAAGGTTGATTAGAGGTAAATTAATATAGCAATAAAAGAAAATAGTGCTTAAGAGCGGTTTAATTTATATTCCTACTGAATGAACAACTTAAGTGCAATGTAGCAAAAAAAGTGATTTACCCTACATAGTCCGGGAAATGGAAACATAGGACTTCATTGATTTTAAACATATTTCCTTTCTGTTGGGAAACAACTATAAAATTGATCAAAATAAAGAAAATGTAAAGTGGACAGATATAAAAATTCTGAAATCTAAAAAAGATAGTCCAAACACAATTTTCTTTAAGCACAACTATGATGACGAACTATGGAATTCTTTTAATCTAAAAAAATTATCAGTGATTGCACATAATATACGAGAAGTGCTACTTAAACCTGCCTACAAAGAACAGCCAAAAATTCAAATGGCCAAAAAGAAAGATTTGGTATACTTATGCCATTCGGGTATGATACCAGAAGCCCACCATAGTTTTTATAAAAATATTTTGGTCCAAGACGATATTATACGAGAAGAGGACAACAACTAACAGAAAATGTGTCTAGACTTTTCACAATTTGCTCCGTACAAAAGTGTTATAACTCTAAAATGCTTATACTAAATGTATAGTGATTAACAATTTTCTCCGTGCAAAAGTGTAAATTTTTTTAGCAATAATATTATTTTATTAAAATTTATATTTTTGGTTAATGTAACATAGGCTGAAAAGCATGTAAACTCATAACTAAATGTTAATTTTTCTTAAAACTTGTGTCTTATTTCACTATTAGCATGAAAATAAATAAAATCGTCTTTATCTCGAAACTTACATATTCTGACTTACTGCAGTCTTCCACTGAGGGTGCGATATATTTCTCGTATATAGCAGAGTTTTGAAACATGTTCTGCTTTTGGTTAATATATTGTATTAATTTATTATATAAACTATGGTCATTGCCAACATTCGGAACGAATATATATTCTCAGAAAAAGTATAGTGTAATAAACTAAAAGTTCATATAAAACATTGTTTATATAATAATATAAGTCAATGAAAAATACTTACCCTGCCATGTTTCCACGTAAACTACAGATACCCTGGTATTTAACGTCCTAAAATAAAGGTCAGCAATATTAGCCACTTGGATGGAATCGTGCACGACATCACTCCTGGTGCTTCCGTTTCTCTTGTCGAACATTGCTTTATCGATAACCAACGCTGTTTCGATATACTTTGTTGCTTCACGAACGTCTCGTCTCGCTCTGGAAAAAAATTAGAGTACCTATTAACCACAGAATATCTTAAAAGCTGACACAAAGCATAATTTATCTATTACAAATAATTCACAATTTTTGAATTGGAAGTGATCCATAATTTTACCATAAATAATAGAAGAGTTGAAGAAATGTTTAGTGGCTGTCTAGGTCCAATATAAAAAAGTTAAAATAAGTACAGAAGACAAGATTTTAAATCTATATCTCAATGTTTTTGTTCGAATGGTATAAAGAAGTATATATTATTAAAGAAGAGAAAAGCTTATGATGATTATTAAGATGTTGACTCTAACCAAAACACAATCTGGTTATAATTAATATTGTTTACTTTGCATTGAATCTCTGTTACTTTTAAAATATATATTTCTAAGTAAAGTCAAAGATACGAGAGTTAGAGATAATTTACTTTTGCTGATAGTTGAGGCCATTATTTGCAAAACTTGCTCTTTGCTCGGAAGTAATTTTTTGGGAAATCGAAAAAAAAAACGATTAACAGCCGAGTAGTGTTTAGTTCACAACGTAAAGAATTTTATTAATGTTTTTTAGAGGTTTTAGCAATGGAAATTAGAAGTTTCTAGTCTAAAATATTTACAGATTTTTAGAAAAAAAAATAATGTTTGTTGCAAATAACCAGTTTTGCAAATAAATTTCTAAAATAATAATAAACTGTATTTAGTTCAATAAAAAGCATAAGGGATTTATTCATGAAAATAAAACTTTAACATTTTTAATCATATAAAGAAAGTTTTTAAACAAAAAAAAAATCAAAAGCAGTCTCAATCAGTCATGCTCAAACAAAAAAACAGTCGTTTTCTGCATTTTGGCAATTTTCCAAACCAGCAACGGTTTCTTCTGGTGAGGTAGAACCTGTCTTCAGGTGCTCTTTGTAAAAAATTAGTTCAGAAAGCCTTCTCCAATTTTCTCCATAGTGTTTGGAAAGGAGATTATTAATAGTTCCTTTATCCCCCTTTAATTCTGTTCCCAGTGGTAATTTCTTAGGAGCCATTGAAGAAAGTGAAAAATTTTTCTTGCACACGCTTTTAGCTTTTCCAACGTCATTGCGGTAATTGGGTTCACCTTGGACTACAACATTTTTGTCTTATTTGTAAAAAATAAACCGCTTTGCCTTATTAAATTCAAAGTGCCATGAATTAGGGAGCTTAGTAACTCGTCTTGTTTGTGTCCTCCAATCAAACACATCCTAGTCGATACCGATTTTCCGTACAGTGGAATGCTTTCTGATTAAATCGTCGTAGCCACTAATTTCCACGATAACAGGCATTTTTTGTTGTTATTTTCAACTGCTCCTTTGTTCTCAAGCAAGTGGAACAACAGTCAGTCAGCGGAGTTCCAAAAGCGATGTTGTAGTAGACATTGACATACTTTCTAAAATAACTAAGCTTCACATGCATAGGCTGAGGCACTCTCCGAAGATAATGGTCGAAAAGTTTCTTAAAATTCAAATCACATTACAAGTAGACCCTCACGCTTGTCTTGCTTCTATAGTAATGAAACTCTGTACATGTTATGGATTCTATAAATTTTTTTATGCAGTTTCTTTTTTCAACATTTTTTGGACCCACTCTATTGCCTCCTCTACGTTCTCTGGGTAGCTCCCCAGTGACAACAAAATTTCTTACAATTCTTTGTATGCGGTCCTTGCTTAAATTTGTGATTCCTAGAAACGACTTGGCACATACTCTAATCATCTTACCCTCACTCAAACGTACATGGTATTTTATCGACACTGCAGCATGATTGGATTTCCCTCTTTTCGGGTTTTCTCCCTTACAATACGCCAATATCAAAAGATCTTGCTTACTTTTATCTTTTGACTGATAAAGGTAGGCATGAAAATCTGCCACTTGCTTCATCGTTAGTGTAGTACAATAATACGGCAATCCGGGTCGTCCGTTATGACCGCAAGTTGGAAAGGCCGGCAGTGCTTTTGGTGTATTTCTGTAACAATATAACTCTTTTAATAAACTTTTTGTCTATTCCTACTCAACGTTATAAAGCGAAAAACAAGCTAAACTGCGTAAAAAGTCAAACTATTGTCGCACAAGTCTAAAATCATAAATTTTAATAACTTACCTAGCAAGTTTATCGACATTCCTTTTATGTGTTTCTGACTGAAGAACTTTTTTGCGTTCTTTTCCCTGTGGACTAGGTTTAACAAAACAAACATTTTCACTTTCTAACTCCATAAAAATAAAAAACTGTTACTAATTCGCCAAAATACAACTCTTTAGTAGCTTGAATAATTATAAACTACTGAAAATCCGTTTCTTCAACACAGCTGTTGTAATAGCGTGTTGGTCACGTGAACCAACCGGCGAATTTCATTGGCGGTAGAGCAAACGGCGAGTTTTGCAAGTAAACGTTCAAAGTAAAGAGCGAGTTCTGCAAATAACTGTAATTTTTTCTACATCATTTGTATGCTAAAGAACGAGTTTTGTGAAATTTTAATTGTATCAGTCGATTTCTATTTAGAATTGAAATATACTTAACCAAAAAAACATGTTTCTAAAATTTTGTCGATTAGCGAGTTTTGCTAATAATGGCCTCACTTTTAATGTAAACTCAGAACTTATTTTTGATGGAATTATGGATGACTCAGATGTAAATAACTTGAAAATGTGTGTGACTACTCTATTTGGTTTTTTCCGTCTGCATATTTACCCACGCTCCTAGTGCCTTTTACATCGGCACCAGGGTGATGAAATCAATGACCCTTTTATAATTCTTGATATACAATATTACGCTACAAACGCTCCTTGCATTTGGCACCCGTGCATACATGAAGGTGGCTGTAAGCAAATTTAGCGGTATCCGTGTCGTACCTACTTTAGCGAGAAGCTGTGTGTTTGGGTCTGTTATGTTAGTATAGATATAATTGCACTCTGAAGTATACGCGTTTGTTGTTATTTACATATCACAACGAAGGAGGAATGTGCTGAAATTATAAAGTCCGTTTTAAAGCATATTGACCCAGTATGTAAGATTGTGTTAGGCAACATGATAAACAAAGATAATGTAAACCGACCTAATAGCGGCCCAGTTAAGGAATATTTGACTTTAGACATAAATATTAAGAAGAAAAAAATAATAGAGAAAATGTATTTAAAGTAGATAAAGTAGTAGATGGCTTGATGATTTCTTTATAAAAGTCATTAATAAAAAAAATAAAAAATAGGTTTTATTTGCCAAAAAAAGTTCTATGGAGTCAAATTCCTTTTCTAAATCAAAGAAGCTAATGTATAAGTTAAAATAATAATTCATTGGCTTTCTCTATTAGCGTTATATCTCTAAGAAGACGATCCGCTGTACTGTAACCTTATTGGTACCCTGCCTGCTCTACCGATTGATAGCTGTCGAGCTTCGACATTAATCTGTTAGTTATTACTCTCATAAACAGTTTGCACATTTGTCACAGCAAGGAGATTGACCTATAGTTTTTTAGATCTCCCTGTCTCCTTTTTTGAAGAGAAGTATGGTAAAACTTTCATTTTCATAATCTGGGACTTCTCCTTTGTAAAGAGATTCGTTAAAAAAATTTTTCAGTTCTTCGAGAATAGTTTTACTTCCCTTCTTGAACATTTCTGCAAATATTCTATCTGGGCTCGGAGCCTAATTTTTCTTTAGTTGTGCCATAGCTTGTTTTATTTCGAAGGATTCTATGTTAGAGATTATTTCTGAGGTGCCATTCGTTATCTTTTTCTTAAGATCTTTCTTTGCAGTGTTCTTCTTCTTCAGCGTTCATTTATCCATTGTTAAACATAGGCAACTCCAATTACTTCCATGCTTCCCAATCTTTTGCAATTTTCATCCACTGTTTTCCAGCTGCATCTGTTATATCGTCTATCCATCTCTTTTTGAATCTTCCTATGCTTCTTTTTGTTTCTCGAGGTCTTCAGATTTTAGGTCACTTTATGAGACCATCTGTTGGTGTCTTATCTTGCTACATGTGCTAGCCATTGCCATCTCATCTCTATTTTTCACATGATTGGTTTACTTTAGTTCTTCGACGTATTTCGGTGTTAGGAATTTTGTCTCTGAGGCTTTTATGTAACATGGCCCGTTGAGTTATTCTTAATTGTTCTGCCATTTTTTTTGTTATTGCCATAGTTTTCAACCCATAAGTTGCAACTGGTAGTATACCAGTGAATTGGGATTTTTTTTGCCTTAAATAAAGCTCAACTTACCAAAAGCAGCCCATGACAATTATGTCCTTTTAATTTCTAGGGTTTGGTTTTCCTTTTCGTTTTTAATTGCATGTCCTAGATATATATATATATATATATATATATATATATATATATATATATATATATATATATATATATATATATATATATATATATTGGTCTACCTTTTCTATATTGATGTTATCTATCGTGATGTTTTCTAGGCTGTTGCTTAATATTTTTGTTTTGTCGAGATTCATTTTTAATCCTATTTGATTCGATTTGTGATTTAAATCTTGTAGCATTGATTTCAGCTCATGGATATCTGTGCTTATTAGTACTATGTCGTCTGCGAAACGCAAATGGTTAAGATATACTCCATCTACTTTTAATTCCTTTTCGCCCCAATTTAGTTTTTTGCAGTGTTATCTGGGTTCTTTTTTAAGGAATATCAATCACGGTATAATATTTAAGTAACTTTTAGGATTTCGTTCTTTTCTCTTATTTCTTTTCTATCTTTATCCTTTAATTAGATTAATATAGACGTTCATAAGCTTGATCTTGATAATTTTAGCCGCGATGATTTTCTATTATTATTTTTTAACTTGTTTTCATTGTAGATCCCTAAATCTTCCTTTATCTATACAAATATCTAGTGCATGAGATTTGCTTAGGCCGAGATAATCAGACAACTGATTATCTCGAAGTACCAAACCTAAAAATACTAAGAAGAACAGAAGTCACGTATGATATGTTGCCAGATTGACGGATGATGGATAGACCAGAATGATTCTTAAATGGCGACCAAGAAAGGCATCTCAAAATAGAGAACCATCATCGACTAGATAGAGAATTAATGTAAAGCAAATCACCACAAAGTGGATGCAAAAAGCTCTACATTAAAAAAGAACATTTTACAGGAGGACTACATTGAGGAATGAGTAAATTTGCCTTAATTTTGGAAATAATAATTAATATTTAACATCACAAGCCTTATGATGCATTAAGACATAATAAATGTCCGAAAATTGAATTAGCCAAAAAAAACAACCGCCAAATTTGTAAAGTCAGATACTACAGATCTTTTCTGGGGTATTACTGCGTGGCGGAACTAAAAAACCCTATATAGCATATCTTACTAGACATCAAAACCACTTTGCCTAGATTTTGAAGGGATTGGATCCATTATTCATCATTTTACAAATAACGTAATATTTTAAATTTCGTATTAGCACCTAGGAGTAATTTATTTTATTACGAAATATACATAAAATCAACATCAAAACTTTTATTGTGGAAACTGCTCTTTTGTTTTTTACATAAATCCATGATTTGTAAATTTTGGATTATGTCACAACTCTCAACCTCAAATATGATAAGACGTCACTAGATTAAATACAATTGTTGACAAGACTACAATTGTTTTTTAGTTTTATTAAGGAAAGTATATTGCATATGTGTAAAGCATGTAACCGTACTTGTATATTTAAAATTATTAAATAACCTACCTTATACTATGAGGAAAAAACCCAGAGTGCGGATTCACCCTCCATTCCATGCTTCCAGAGTTTGCGCACCCTTTGCTCGCCTTTGTGCGGGCTTCGAAAATGACGTGAGGATGTTTCTGCTGAAAAAAAGAAAAGCTGTGCAGTCATATTAAGTTCCGATAAATTGCAATAACTAAGAATAAAACCCCAGCTTTTATACAGAAAATTAATTATAAATTTCACGGTAACATGATAATTTTAACAATTGTTATAACCAATGACGTATAATATATAGACTACGCAGTCCCCTATTCTCGCTATAGAATCGAGTGTCCGAAAGATCTCGGCTCAAGGTTGAAGGTATGTTTATCAGAACAGCGGCGTGCTCATTTATATGTTAATGACAATAATTATTTTTTTAATTAAAATTAAATATTTATGATTTCTTTTTGTTCCCGTCTATAAGAGAAATAATTATTTTGATAAAATAGTATGGCATTTTACTAAAATAGTAAGTAAATAACTCTCAACAATTTAAAATAAAATTTGCTTGTCACACAAAATGGAGAAAATGTTTTCATACGTCCATGATGTTTTCCAACACAAGATCAACTTCGTGACGCTTCGTAAGAAATCATGAACTTCGTGCATCTTCGTATCAAAACAATAAACAATAACAAAGGAATTCATGTTTTGGACACTTTTTAAAGCGTTCACCGAGTCTATATATTATACGTCATTGGTTATAACAGTATCAAATTTTTTTTAAAGAATTAAAAAAAAAATAATTAAGCAGCAATAGTTCGTTAACCATCGACCGGAGGCGCCACAGAAATTTGTTACGTAAACTCAATATTTCCAGGTAAAGGTACGTTTTAACTAGGGCGTCTGTTGCAATCATCCTTGAGTGATAGTCGCTGAGCAATGATCGCTAACCGATGATCGCAAGCGAAGTTTTATTGTGACGCTGCTTTTATGCTCGCTGTACGCACGCGCGCGGGAACAGTATGGGCTGATGTGGTCTGAACTGATGTGGCCTGAACGGTGTGGGCGGAAGGTCGCTGAAGTAGGGGTCGCCATGTTGGCGGCAATCGTTTTGCGTCGTCGCGCGTATTTAAGCTGTTAGGCCGTTTTTCGATTTCGATGGCTTCACGAATGATTCTTGATTTTAAGGAGCGGATGGGGGCGATGGTTTTTGCTTTTTCGAAGTCTATTTTGTGGCCTGTTTGAATGTGATGTTGGGCTAGGGCTGAAGTAGTATCGGAATGTTTGACTGATAGAGAATGTTCGTAAATACGGTTATGGATTCGTCGATTTGTCTGTCCGATGTATGTACGTGGGCAACTGGAACAAGGTATCTCGTAGACACCCTGGTCTTCATTAGGGATTTGGTCTTAAGGGAAAAGATAATCTTTTTGTATTAAAACATAATCTTTCGGTAAAATCAACTCTCTTACATGGTTAACAAATGAAAATATATCCTTTGCATTATAGTTGTTCACTTCGTCAAAAGCATCTTTAAGCATGTTAGCATTCAATTTGAATAAGTCATAAGTTACTGAATTTATAGAACTTACAATAGGTCTAAGTGGTATATCTTCTTTATGGATTTTTGGTAAGCAGTAAAGCTTTAGACAAGATGCATTGTATATAGTCGGTTTTTTGTCAAATTCTTGATTTATATGAAGTTATTCCTCATGGTTTTAATAAGTTCATTATAAGAAAATTGTATCGTAATCGTTGGATCTCTTTTTAGCTGAAGATATGTAATTTTACATTTAATAAGCCTTCTGTTTCTTAATATATTCGGTTTTATTCATTGTTACTGTACACCCTCCCTTATCCAATTGTAAAATATAAAGTTCTGGATGTAATTTTAAGAATTTTTAAGTTTCTTTGAATATTTTATTTAAAACACTAGAATGTAGATCGCATACCCGATACTCCAAAACAATAAATTGTTATTTACGACCCAACAAGTTACAAATGCAGAGGTGTTAAGAAGGCGACAAAAGGATTGTGATCATAAAGTACATCAAAACAAGAAAGTTGGAATATTTAGTCCACATTATCAGAGGTGCGAAATATAAGATATTAAGGCTCCTAATGCAGGGTAAAATTAAAGGTAAAAGATCCCAAGGAAGATGGAGAATTTCCTGGCTAAGAAACCTAAGAGAGTGGTTTAGTTGTAGCTCAGTATATCTTTTTAGAGCAACCGCCAATAAGGTACGTATAGCTGTAATGATAGCCAACCTCCGATAGGAGAAGGAACTACAAGAAGAAGACACAAAATTGTCAAAACCCATACAATTTGTCAGAGTATATAACAAGACAAAGTCATCCGACACGAGCGGGTGACTTTGTATTTTATATTATTATTATTATTGTTATTATTATTTTTTAAAAGTAAGCGTCCCGTTTTATTTTAATTTAATTTTTATAAAAAAGAATCAAAAGACTCAAATACAAATAAATTTTATATATTCAGAATACTGAAATCTACATTAAAACTTCGAAATTGAGTGCTTTTTTATGTTATGAACTTAGTTTTTTTTAACTTCGCATATAATATATTGCCCTGCAAACAAATTTTAGAAGACAAGTTCATAGTATTATTTTTCTTTTTACTTTTATATAAATATCCTGAATATTCCGTATTTATTTCCTAGCTTTTTAATCCATTCAATATAAGAAATTTTTTAAATATATATTGGTGTAAAAAGTGTAGGAATCAATAATCTACTCAAGATCTTGCGAAAAATGGAAACGAATAACCCTAAAATTGGATTTTCTCAGAATGTTGGCTGAGTGGAAGACAACTTTTTCAATTTAGTCGTTTTCATGTACCTTACGTCCACTCCTGGACCTTGATAAAATAGTTTTAGGTCTGACGATGAAGTTTGGTGTAAATCAATGGCGTCTTGTTCTTTGTGTTAGATGAAAAATAAGAGCCTATATACTTAAAATAAAAAAATAAATAAATATTTAACAAATATTTATTTATTACCTCCAGATTAGACTAAATCAGTGCCAGCCACGGCGGTCTTATACCAGAAATCATATATAAATCGTAATGTCAAAAGGTTATCTTGCAAATAAAATTAATTTCATGTCAATTGATTAAAATTATCTTTGCTTTATTTCATTTTACAGTTCTATACATCTAAAAAACAACCTTTACTTACAAGTATCACAAAATATTCGCATTCACTGTGAACTTCTTTTCTAATAATCGCTTACCACACAACCTTCCGATGAATTATAAACTTTCTTAAGATCAATAAATATTATTTAAGCATTTGTTTCTTTTTCCCTTTATTTTACCATTATAATTAGAAATGTTTATTGATAATAAACTACTTAAACTGTTTAACTTAATAGGATAGTCACCAAAAATTTTTAACAACTAGCTATAAAAAGAAAACAAAATTGTACATCGAGTAAATTTTTAACTTTAGTTCATGGATATGCCAAATAAAAATTTTAGGCTTTAATAAATAATTTTAATTTGTGGACGTCATATGTAATTTCTGTCTAGTTTTTTTTATTACTTTAATGTATAATAGCTTTAAACTATTTCAATTATCTTAAAAAATATTTTCACTCAGTTAATAGGCTGTTATAATAATATATTATAATATAATAAGTGTGTAAACATAATATTATGCATAGGGTTCGGTTCTGCATCGGTAACTATAATGTTGTATTTTATTATGGGCTCCGAATATTTTTAACAATAACAAAGTTCAATGTAATGCCGGGTCCAGACCAAACAGACAAAACAAAAACATTCATGTTTCGCGACAAAGTGGCGACAAATCGAAAACATTTGTTGAGACATTTCTGAACAATTTTGTTTTGTTTGCAAATGTGAAAACTTTTTCAGGTCCCGTCTCAGGTCGGTAAAGATCAAAAAGTCTGTGTTTTGTTTGTGTATTTGATGACAAGTTGTCGGTGCAGTGTGGACGCGTGTGCGTGCCAAAACGAGTTAAGCAGTAGGAGAAATAGAATGTACAATTTTTATCAAAATTAAGTGTATTTTTCTGTTACTTAGTCTCAACACAAATGTTCACTCAACTCCATCCAACTCCAACCCACAAAATTTGTACTCAAATCCACCCAGCACTGACACACAACAGTCATACTCAAATCCTCCCAGCATTGACGCACGTTCATACTCAACTCCTCTCAGCATTGACATATTTATACTCAAATCCACCCAGCATTGAACATTTATACTCAAATCCACCCAACACGCAACATTCATACTCAAATCCACCTAGTGCTGACCCACAAAATTATTACTTAAATCCACCAAACACCAACACACAACCTTTATTTTCACATCCACCTAGTATTGACACAGAGCTTTCTTAGTATTCAGATCAAGAAAACGAACGAAATTGATGATGAACTACACTACTAGATGTACATAACCACTAAGAATGTTAATTAAAGCTTTACATACTTCAGGTATTATTACAGATATTGATTGCTTTGATACTTTCGAAAGATACATTAGGCTGTGGTAGGAATCACCTGTTGCTAAAAATCTTAAAGTGATTACTAACCTTTCTGTTACACCAATAGCATTTCTAAAGTTAGTATGTCTTTTTGCAACTGCAGGACCAACAAGGCATATTAGATTCTCAAAATCTTCTGTGGACATTCTTAAAAAATTTGTCTATCGAACAACTTT